TATCATGTCTCGACTCCTTACTTCAATATGTTTTCCGGAATGATGCCTTGCTTGACGAGCATCTCTTTGGTGGCCATCGCCAGTCCCACGTCTAACACGAGCATGCCCATGTCTTGCATGTTGAAATCGAGTTTGGGTGCCGGTTGTTTGGTGATCATTTTGCTCAATCGAGCGTAGCCTATGGCCAGTCTGCTGACCCAGGTGGCAACGTTTTTCCATCGGGATTAGACATGATTATAACATAAGATGTGGGTTAACCTCTAATTGTGGGTTCGTTGATGGTGGGGTCGTCACCACCGGTACCACGGCGTACAGAATCCATGGTGGGGTCGGTTTACGATGCTTAGCTAACCCTCCTTTTTTACCGGCGGCTACTTTTTTCGAATTCTTGGGTTTCTTCGTGACGGTATCAATCACTTGGTGGGGGATTGTCTCCTCCTCCAACGCAGGTATCGTTTCGGTGTATCAGTAGTCGAACATTTATGTTTAAATTGGCAGTGCTTTGCGGTAATGATTGCCGTGCCGATGGGAGCTAAGAACACGCCGTATCGGTGATACAGCGCGCAACTGAGGGTGTTCAAGGCATGACCGATAAACGGATCCGCATCTAGATCTTCGCACAAAAGTCGGCGTGCTGGTGGAATGGGAAGCAGTGATGAAGCGATCGCGGTGTAACATGGCGTTAGAGTCGACCCTATGGTTTACGCCATTTCTGACCCGAATCGGGCTTCGTATCTTGCGTACAGTTTATCAATGTCTCCCTCGGACATCTTATAAATTTTATCTGTGGTCATGTTTTCGCCCAAGTATTGTTTCCCCTTCCCACCCACGACTAGGGCCACGAGTCTTTCTCGTTTATCCCTGACAGGGTCATTTTCACTCTCCTCCTCGGATACCATTTGTACCAGCATGTGGTCCAACTCCATCTTGTAATACATTATTCTGTTTTTAAATCTAACATAACGGAATTCGGCATAACCCACACAGAACGAGAGGAATGTCAGGTAAAACAGGTTATACATTTAATTTGCTAAGCAGGTTGCTTGATTTTGCTAAGCAGGTTGCTTGATTTTGCTAAGTGTTGCTAAGCAGGTTGCTGATTTTGCTAAGCAGGCTGCTTGATTTTGCTAAGCTAGCTCACCGCATAAGCCACGGGTTTGTCTGTTTTCAGCACAAGGTTCTCATGCGTTCTCACAAGGTTCTCATGCGTTCTCGCTTGGGTTTGGTGGGAATGACGTCGTTTTCTCTCAAACATTCTTCGAACGAATCCCTATCCTTGCAGTGAAACAGGGCGAGCCATCGCGTCTGTTTCCTCAGGTCTTTCAGGACCGAGTTTAATTTTTGCATGAGGACGATAACATGTCTCTCTTTTTGGTGATCTCCTCGTTGGCGCTGCAATCGTCTAGGATAAACAGCGTCGATTCTCCCTCGACCTTTTCGTGAAAGGCTCGCACCAGTCCTGTAAACGTACTCCCGGGTCGATTTTATACACCTCCGCGTCGTTCAGTACCTACGCTCTCTCCGCGTACGTTTTATTGACGCGTATTGTAGGGCAAAGAATCACAATATGATCGAACACATTCCGATAGTACCCAGCAGATCCAAGACGAACACGGTCTTCCTGCATTCCGTCTGACACAATGGCGCAATGCCGATCTCCAGGTAGTTCGATATTTATAGATGGCTTGCCCGAATCTTCCATTTTGTATATTAAGCTGCACATCCATGATCACGTACAAATAAAGGTTTAAGTTACCGTCGGTTTGAGCCTTCTTGGCGATTTGGATGGTGATCCCCTCGCTACTGTTCTCGATGCGACGCTCGCTGCTGTGCAGTTGATCGTCGTCCGTGGATCGCATGTCCAACCACAGCACGTACTTGGATGTCAGGTCACGTAGCGTCACGTAGGCGAGACTGAGGTCCCTGACGATCACGTTGATTTCCGGCAGGCGCTTGATCGCCAGTAACTTTGGGATCTCGTCCAACTGATGTTTGGGCACGCCCTCGACGATCTGCTCGACTTTTGTGATCTCAGGGTTCCAATACTTTTCGTTGACCCTTTGAAATTGCTGAAATTCTTCTACCGGCAGGATCAAAATGCCCTTCATCGATCGTGCATGTACGTTCAGATTGATGTTCCACAGCGTGTCGCTCTTGTTCGCGACGATCTTCCTGTGGCGTAGCACGTGATTGTACAGGATGGCTAACGTGCCCGAATACTGGCTGCGAATATGTCAAATATGTCATTTCGTCACCTTGTCGAACTCCAGCGAAATATGACTATGGTGTAGTCACCCTCATCACCGTTCTCCGCCACGATCACGTGGCTGTAATCGTTAAAAGTGAGTTCGTACTCCAGCCGGTCGACCAACGTGGCTTGGTAGAAGGACACATGACATTCCAGCAACTCAAAGTTGAGCGGGATGCAAAATCGGTTCCCATACGCCTCGGTGATGGCCTTGTGTTTATTCGCTACCGCGGCAAGTTCAGCTTGTTTGAAAGCGTACCCCATGAGCGACACTCGGCTGGACAAATCCCTTGGTACTTCATGTTTTCCCGTTCGCTCGTGGTTCTCCAGAGGTCCGTGTAGCTGAAGAACATGTTGCTGTCGTCGATGCTCAAAATTTCGTTCCCGCTGATTTTGATGGTCATTTTCTTCACGATGGCACGACACAGGTTCCCCACGACTTTGCATTTATCCCACTCGACACTCGGCTGGACAAATCCCTTGGTACTTCATGTTTTCCCGTTCGCTCGTGGTTCTCCAGAGGTCCGTGTAGCTGAAGAACATGTTGCTGTCGTCGATGCTCAAAATTTCGTTACCGCTGATTTTGATGGTCGTTTTCTTCACAATGGCACGACCCAGGTTCCCCACGACTTCGCGTTTTTCGTCGGATTCCAAACTGATCTGGAAGGACAGGTGAGCCGTTCCCGGAACGATGACGTTGTCCGTACCCAGGTTTGGTTTTCGTCAATGGTGCTCGGATTGTTGGTGATCGTCACCGACTGGCGCACGTCTTTGACCCCCAGGGGTTCTCTCAGTCTTCAGAAAGGGTTTAGTTTATGCCTGTATTGCGACGACATCGTTTATATTGATTGTATGTTTTCATATCTTCAGTTGAACCATGGCCCAAGGTGGTTATGATGATATTGAAGTGGCCAATTTCGGGGACGATAGAACCCTGTTGCTTGATGATCATTATGATTACACAGACACATCGTTAACGAGCGACCTCTTGAGCGACGAACTCTTAAAGCAGACCGTCAGCCTTGCAAACCATTCGTGGATCGCTCGTGGACAACATGGCCAAACTGAAAGAACTAGACGTTCGTATCGCTGATGAGACAACCAAACTCGAACAAGCAGATGATATGGACGACGACATCAGCCGGCGTCGGATCGAAGAAAAGGTTACGTCAATTGCACGAAGAACGATCGACCCGATTAGAAGCAGCGTCATACAACTGAGACGAGCTTCGATCCCAGATCAGCCGCAGTGTTGAACGAGGACACCTTGTTGGCCGACAGGATCCGAACGTTGTTCCGGGAACAAGGGATCACCATCGCCAGCGTTCTGACGGCTTTGGGCTTCATCATATCGACCCTCATATTAGCACTGATGGGCGGTGGAAGCGGAGGTACGACACCGACACCACCCAAAAAAGGTGGCGACGTCAGAGACTGGATAAAAAAACATTTGAAATCACTCGGGGAAGCCTTGGGGAGACTGGCGGGCAAAGCCGCCTAGGCCCTACCCAGCATCTTGGGAAGCATCTTGTCATGTTGTCGAAAACGGTCACATGGCGCGGCCAGAACCTGTGGGCGTTCGTCGTCGGCGTGGCCGGTCTTGTGTATGTCACTACGAAAGAACTTTTAACCAAATGAGGCACACTCTGACCGCGTTTTATGATCGAGGTGTTGCTGATGTTCAACCGCGGATGTGGGGCGTGGTGGTTGAATACTGGGCTTCGGCAGCTTTGGTGGTGTGGGTCGAATGCTGGGCGTCTCCGGGGATGGTTTTACTATGCCTGTTTCACCAATATGCGTGGGTGGTGGGACAAGACGTTGATATCGGGATTGGTGCAAAACTTTTGATCGCTGGTTGCGATGACGATTTCGTTGTTGATCTCCAGTCGCATGTCGCTAGGAGCCATGTACAACACCATGTCGAACACGTAGTCGACTTTTGACCGGATGTTTTGCAACATGTTTTGATAGCGTTCGATGGCACTCGGTAAATCCACCGGTCTGGCGATGGCATCCGCAACATTCGACACAAATTGTTTCTGTGTGTCGTAAGCTGTTCCCTTACCGATGATGCCGGAACGCGTTTGTGCCTACGCACCCACCAGTGCCCACACGTACGTTCGAATGGAATCATTCAACCATACTAGTGAGCCCTCTCGACCTGTTTATCATAAACATTTTCCAATCATCTTCAGAGTGTCGAGGCTGCTCCACCTTTTGAACGGTGAAAGCGACCCCACCCGTAAAATTCATACGATCATCTCGCCATTCATTACTCGACAAAGCCATTTTCTGGTTGAGTTTACCATGTCTGAGTAAATCATCACTGACTTCTTTCACGGGTCGCCCTCCATCTTATGGAAAGCCCAACCCGTAGTTCGCACCCATTATACTATAATCCGTGTTCGGTTGGATTTCGAATTTGTTGCAAATCCTTTCATAAGCCCGTCGATCGAACGGATTGTTAGTCGTATCCTGCGGAATCGGGGCGCTGATTTCTTTCAGGATCCATCTGATTTGGTGTTACACGTGGAAATAGAACACGGACCAACTCAAATCATCGGGACACATGTCGTTCAACAACACATGTCATTCAACAACACCGTCGTGACCGTCAGCCTATACTTTTCAAAGACATCGAAAAACCGAGCTTGAAAGTGGGAACCCTCCTTGGCATCCACCACGATCTTCATCTGCATGAAATAGGTAGCACTTAAATTATCGCTTTTAGAAAAAAAACTTTGGCCTGAACTCGAGTCTAACCATATTGAAAGTATACCGCAGTATCTCGTATATGTGTAACATGTACGTCACGCTCCCAGGAATCACGAACGGCGAGCCCCGTTATACTGCAGCACGTGATCTGCGATCTCACCTACTACCCACGATGGACGAACATCAGTCAACCTCAAGGGAACACCAGGCTATTCATCGATGGCAATCGCCACGATTTGTCCGACGGTTATTACAGCATGTGCATGCTCAACGACGAAATTTCAAACCCACGGGAGCCAACCTAAAACTCAACGAGTCGAATGGCACGATGACGTTCACGAATGGGGAAAAACCCATCCGATTCAGTAAAGTCTTGGAGAGAATGCTCGGGTTGCCATCAGGCAACATACAACCCCGAGACACCGTTTGAAATTACCGAGCCTCGTGGCATATCACGAGGTGTACGTTCATCTCGACCGGGTAAGCATGACGGACAAGATTCAAGGCGAACGTCCTTCCACGCTGCTGAGAGCAGTGTCCGTCAAAACGGAAAAGTGCAACAATGTCAGAACGGAATTGTTTTCGACCTTACAGTACAAAAAGTTAAGGCGGGGCAACATCACGGAACTCAAACTATCCGTTTTAGATATAAGACATAAACCCATACATATCAGCTATCTAAGCGCCACGTTGCACATCAAACAACCATGACTCAAGCTTCGGGTCCCGGAACGGCCATGCGAGTGAGAAAATGTCCTACCACACCGATATCTGACCTCGGGGACACGCGCGGCATTGACGAATCCTGGGTCGAAGGCAAAATATACGCCTTAGAATTAAGAAGCAATACTTACAGGCGAGTGGATGTCCGCGGTGGTGGTGGTGCTAACCTAGGGGATTGAGACTATGTCGAGACCGGAGGGCTCTTGAAAAACACGCAGTACAATCTCGTCCGCAACGACAATAACAAATGGGTGATGGTCCCGGTATTCGATGGCAATCTAGGCGATCCTCGCCGATGATAACCAATGGACGTTGATCTCCTCCCGAATCTAGTGGCTACTCGATATCACCCTCATTTCTCCCTACGTGTTTGCGGAGACGAAGGATCATTATTTAACAAAAGTCCTCAATAAGGGGATTCTCATTGCAGCTTACGTCCCCTTGCAACGAAGGAGAGTGCTCGTGACCCTCATCCCGAATAAAGCAGGTCATTTGCTAGCGAGTCGACTGGATAGTCGAAATATGAGTTTACAGTTGGTGCTTGACTTTGAAGAGGTGTCCGATGTCCTAGAAGGGATTCCAACCAATTCAATGCTCTATATCAAAGTCTTTCTCGAAGAGGCATCAACCACCCAAAATATTGAAATTATACCGGGAGTAAACCTCCCTTGGCCACGAAAACATCAAAATCACGTGTGCTCCATATATATACAGAAAGACGGCAATGCTTACGCGAGTTTCGAAGACGTCACGATTACCTTGGATAATAAAATCTCACTCACGAAGATTTTTCTAAATCCAAATCGGAGAATATATTGAAGGCTCTTCCCTAATACGAGCATAACCATGGGCGACGTGTCAACCCTAAATCAAAGCGTCACAATTACATTATCCGATCTCGGGGACACGCGATGATTCGACGAACCCGGGATGGAAGACGCCTTGTACGTCCTGCACTTGCAAAACAGCGTGAACATCACGAGAGGTGATGCTAAAAGTTGACTGGTTTGTTAACCTTAAATTCATCTACCCCTACATAAGTTTAGATGATAATGGTTACGTCATCGAAGTAAAACATAGAAGGACTGCCACTCCAGCACCTCATTCGATAGAACTTTTGCAAAGACCAGATCATAGTGGCTCTATGTTAGCCCCCACCCATAAACAAGCCACACTGATATTTGGTATTCCCCCATATCAATTTGATTTTATAAATCCAGATTTCAGTATTAAATTACATTCAACACTGATTCTAGAATGCTATCTTGGAAATGCCCCCCAAAATGAGGTGATCCTTTTGGATGGGGTAGCGAACATAAACATCAACGTTGCCGTATTTATATACAACCTGGAACAGTTCCCACGACCAACCTGTTGGGATTGTATCTGGCCATGGATGACGAGGCTCAAACGCTCGAAACTGTGGATGGATTTTGGTTGCGACAGATCGGTGAAATCAAACACCAATCGGAACGATAACGTGACACGCGATTCACAATAAATACCATCGAGCCGTCAATGTCATCGACTGCATGGACACATCTCTCGTAGCAGCTGGCATGGGATTGGGCGTAGCAGGCGTCAGCTTGTTATCCACCATCGTGGCCGCACCCATCGTCCTCGGGTTAGAAATAGCCGCCAGGGTTTTGGAGCTGGCGGGAGTAACCCTGAAATTCATTTCACTTTGTATGCAACTGAAGGCCTTAAAACACGACGAGATCAGGGTTCTGGACGAAGCCAAGCTAAACACTATCGACGATCATAGAGTTTCGTTTGGTGATGTCGGAAATTGCCAAATACCACCGCATGAAGGAAGAGATTCGAACCAAGACTCGGAAAACCGCTGGCATCAGTGAAGACGAGAAAAAATGCTCATAGAACAAGGCCGACAACAAATCATTCAAACCTTCCTGACCCAGAACAAAGATACCATAAAAGATTCATGTTAAACTGCTTTGTAGATATCATTATGACCTTGAGTACAAAAAAATAAAAACATGTTCTGCCTGGGATTCGAACGCTAAAACTCTAGGACCTGCACTTTCCCTTCAGAGTACAAAAGATAAAAACTGTTCTGTTTGGGATTCGAACACTCAAACTCTACGTCAGATATCCAGCGTGTTCCCATCAGACCAGCAATTTCACTCTGTCAGGGATGGTGCATTCAAGCTATATAAAGCTCATACGCTTTGCAAGCTTATGTAACCCGATTCTAAATTAGCCGATTGTGGCTCCTAAACTTGTTTTCAGCGTCCCTCGACGCATGCATCGTGATCAGCATGATCTAGACTACCTAAGACCATCGTGGTTGTATCTTATTACACCTTGATTCGAGGTGAAAAGCCACCAAACGTGCACGAGGCAAGCGAGACTGGTTCTGCGATACTGTGGCTAGTAGAGACGAAGCCTAGCTCAAGATAAATAATGGATTGTGGCCTCTTCAATTTTTTTCAGCGTTCGTCGACTAATGTATCGTATTCAGCGTGGTTCAAACTACCTAAGGGCATCATGTTTGTATTTTATGAGACATGGATTCGAGGTGAAAAAAGCCACTAAACGTGCACGAAGTATTGAAGCGTAAGTGTAATAACGGGTTTCAGACATCCTTTGCGCTACTGTAGCTAGTATAGACGGAGCTCAGCTTAATACAGGTTGTAGACATTTTCTGCGCTAGAATCCTTTGCGCTACTATAGACGGAGCCCGGTTTAAGAGGATGATGCAGTCTCAGGATAGACCCGTTAAACCGAGCACTCGGCTATCAGGTCCTCTGTGGCTCAGTCGAACGACTGCTGGGTACAATCAAGGTACAGAGTTGCACATTTCTGTCACCGAGGTTCGAAAACTGCCATCCCGAACTCCACGGGAGAAATACCAGCGCAACACAAATATCATCAGACCAGGGACCAGGCGGGTCTCTGGTCAAAACACAATTTCTTCCTCCGTGGGTTGTGGCCGCAGAGGGCTTTTGCCTTTTTTTTTATTTGAACTTGCATATCAATGATGATCCGCACTATTTGGAGGGGGCTAAGTCCCATAAATAAGCCTCTAAGCCGCAGATGATGCAGAGCCCCCATTGTACTACTACTATCACAGATATAAATTTTAAAGCTAGTAATTAAAGTTAAAACATTGTAGCCATACATGACAACACAATATAAAAACAGGATATAGAACGCCAACAACTGAAGGTAAATCGCCAAACTAGGGACCAAGGAGACTTACAGTGCCTTTGCTGCCTGCATGGACCCTAGGTGGATTTACACCATCCCTTCAGATCCTGGCGATTGTAGGGAAATTTAGCCATAATTTAAATAACAATTCTTTTACGTTTAAAAATGCTGGTATGTTTGAATTTCTTATGATGGTTTTGGGACTTACATATCCTCTCAGGAACTTTGACAATTTCGTGATGTATTAAATTTCGATCCTGGACGAGCTACTACTTTCTGGTACGTGTTGATTGAACTTGATTCCCATTTTGAAACAGCAACACCCAAATCTGATTTTGTGGTGACTTGAGATGTAATTTGAGCTAAGAGGAAAGAGTTAACGCTCATTATATACCCTACAATAAGATGCTAGAGAACTCTACTCTATGGCAGATGATTTTGGAATACGCTCCTTGTATTCCTTTTAAGATTTTTCTATCTTAATCTAGTACAAATCTCAATAATGCACACCAGTGCCCCTTACTGAATTTATAGTTGAAACATTGTTGCCTCTTAACAATATACTTCCTGAATATTTATTCTGACAGTTTAATATGGACAGAAGCATCACTTGTAGTTACCACAACTGTACCAGAGCTCTTGGAACAACTCGAGACGTAGTGAAGTACGAAGAATGGGTGTTCTATTTCTTTGATGCCAGAGTGACAAAATACTTACTATGCAATTCATTATTCTAACATGTAACATTGTTTTACTGATTTTTGGGGGTAAATGCTTGATTTAGCTTTGCGTGTGTTAGTGACATTCGTTGGGCAAGATATAATCACCTTTTTGCAAAAACTTCTATCGTCAATATTTGATAGTAAGTCATATGAGCTCGTATATGATAAGGTTGGAATTGTACAATGTTTGTGTTTACGACTATGACTTATTGCATGAGAAGAAGTAATAGATTGCTATACTTCGGACCAATGTAACTATGCAGCAACTTGCAATGACGACTTATGGAGGATTCACAAGTGCTGTGTGCCTATGTGTGTCACGAATGCATTACGAGAGAAGGTACATCTATATCCAGATGCAATTGGGGAAAAGACCAATGTGCACATTTATGTTTTTGTTGTTTTGTTGTTGTTGTTTTGTTTTTGTTGTTGTATCAACACGTGCAACCATTAGGCTATGTTGTTCCCATGCATGTAGGTTCAGTGTTCAGATCCCAGTTCTAGCAATGGCTGATAACACTTTGGATTATTAGCACACCAAACCCTTACAATGAAGAAAATGACACGTATGGTACCTGAAGTCGTGGTTATGGTTGGGCTCATCGTTGTTTCCACTCCCGTGCCAGTGTTCGAGCCTGTGTCTGTGGCTGTTTCTGTCTTGGAGTCTGTGCCTGTACCTGTGGAAGTGTCAGTATGCGAAAACCATCCAGGGATCCAGTCTGTGCAAAGTATACAATTTAAGGACACTTTTCTGTACCTTTGATATCCAATCGTGTGCAGATAGCAAATAACTTCCAAATAGGGAATGTGTGAGTTTATATACTTTATCAAACAACAAATCAGTATACTGGAGTAATGCTATCACTGATCTAACTCATATCGATCACTACATTCATGTTCTTGGAGAGATGTATGCTTGGGTGTTCTGTGAGTGAACTGTGGTTGCATTTTAAATGTGTTACAGGATTTTTTCTTGACGACTAATTCTTCTAACCTTTATTTCATTGTCAGTGGTGTTAGGTGATATACAAATTAGCAATATGACCTGGCAGGATAAGTAAACACTTCTTACCTAACCATGAAATGGGAAAGACTCAGCAAATGATACTAATGTCACAAGTCATCATTTCTTCCGTGCAATGTATATATACTCATCGCAAAAAAATAAGCAACAAGTACTTTCAGTGTAATATCTTTATCAATCTGGATAGCGATTTTTGCCGACATGTTACTGAAAGGTAAATATTCAAAGATTACATAACCTTTAGTGACTGTCAGATTGATTTATCTGATAACTTGATAACGTCGCCCGAACACATCCAACCTCAGAAACAACATGCAAATTGTGTGGCATGGATGTGCTCCACTCTTCACACATGCACCCTGATCGGTGTAAACCTACCTGCAATCATTCCCATGTTTATGGATGATAATACCTGTCCATGGATGATAATATACAAATACTGACTTCAAGTGAGGTTGATCCAATGATTTATCGACCTTGGACATGTGATATTCACCGAGGCGAAGCCGGGGTGAATATCACATGACCAAGGTCGATAAATCATTGGATCAACCGAACTGAAGTCAATAATTGTTTTATGTTATGACAAAAGTACTGAATACCTGTTCTTCTGTCACATAGCATACCACCGATGGCGTTGCACATGACCCAGAGGTGCAGCCATTTTGATACAGATAGGACGTAACTCTAAACCAACACAGTCACAGGGACGAAGCGATGCCTATCGCTTCCTTATCTAGCGTGACGCACGGAGTACGGAGTTCACAGCTGGAATATCCCAAATCTATTTTTAGCCACGGGAGGTTGACATCGCTTAGCGTCAAAGCTGTCATGTGACCAAGTGGGCCAATCAGCAGGGCGGAAATCTACCCGTCATATAATAATGCCCGAGAAAAAGGTTTTAATGGTGTTGTTTAGATCAACATCATGACACATATGGTACCTGAGAATGGCAGATCATTCCACAATAGCAACTTTAAAGGCTCATTTGGTCTATGCCAAGACGTGTAGAAGATTGCATTTGTGCTCATGGTGGTCATACGCGTTACTAAACACTGCTTCACTGTCTGACTTGAACCTTAACGTTAACATCAGTGCAGCACATTTTGCACGACTGTTTTGATGATTTGTAAGTCTATTTTTGCTCAATACCATTTCATTTCATTTTGTTAATCGTGTGTACATATGTTTCACGTTTCTATTGCATCATTCCATGATTTGCAATTTCAATAAATGAAAATGTAATGAGACTAAAAATGTGTGTTGCTTAACTTTTTGTGAGGACTATATGTTATATGTATTGGCCCAAATATGATTATTTACAGACCGCCGGCATACAGCTTGAATATTATTGAAACACCAAACAAAACAAAATTATATAATTTATCGCTTTTTTCAGGAATGACATGCAGTATTCATACCTTGATACTGATGCTATGTACATGTGATTCTCTTTCTATTGACACAGCATTATATTGTGACATCACAATGCGATAATTACTGTATGGAAGCATGAGAATATCACTGAAGCAGAATACAAACATGCATTGCATTGTGTTTACATAGAAAGCGATAAAGGCTTAGTTTATTGAAGGTGAATTATTTTATCATTTATATTTCAGACTCACTAATGTTTCTGGATTTTGGTGAAAATGCTAAATGTAAAATACAAACAAGCATGAAATTTTATTTTCATTTCAATCGCTAATGTTATGATGTTATGGAAGTTTGATGCAAATGCAAGTGTAAAGTAAAATTACGTGGATAAGTAAAAGACTTCTTACCCTTGAATTTATCACTGTGTTCATTGGATTAAGTCGTTGCCTTTGGGAAGAGATCAGAGAGGTACAATAGAAAGGGGAATGCATTATCGCCTTGGCAACTGAATCTGACATATTTGCTGCGACTAAACAGAAATATGATGTATATCCAATATATCATATCATGGAATTGGACTCTGATATTGTACAGCTGAATAGTTTCAACACGTAAACATCATTAAGTAAATGCGTTGTTTTTTAAACATTTATAACAATTATGTTATGTCAATTGAAACAGTTACAAGCTTCGATATCAACCCGTTGGTAAAGTGGCGCTATTTCCTTAACACCACATAAGACTAATGAGAGTATCTTTAATCCATAAGTCTCTTATCAGATGAAAGGTTTACCTCCTACAATGAAAACTTGAATTTTTTACATGAAACGTTGCACAGCAACAAAATAATGAATGAGTGAGTTTAGTTTTATGCCGCTTTTAGCAATACTCCAGCAATATCACGGCACCAGTTAAATGAAGTTAAATAGCCTACCAGTTCAACTCCCGACAAAACAATGCATGTGTTAATCTCATTTTTGGGTGTCCCCGCCCATATATTGCTTGAGATAAACACGGCGTAAAACCATACACACTACAAACATAGTAAATGGAACTTTTGGCGAAAAGTGGTTACCATTAATAGACTTACATATCTTTGTTCAAGCTTCAGGACAGTTTGTCAGAAATGCAAGACAATTGCATCTGGTGTTAACTGAGAAAAACACGTTTCAAATAGTGGACTTCTGACTTGATAATATGATATGTAAGATTTGTGTTTAAGACTCTTATACATCCCCGTGTGCACCAGGATCTGTTCCTCGTCTAGCTGATCATATTTCGTGCATTACAACTCGTTTTGGCTCCCTCTTTGCGGAACCGTTTCTCTAACCAGATGAGTAAGACTTTCTGCTGCGGTTGGCAAAATCAAAGCAAGGTAATTTGGATAAGACGTTTTAACTTAAGCTTCAGGTTTTGCAGTGATCTAATATCTTTCATTAAATATCAATTAGCCAATTCCCTTCAAACGATTTTTCCCGCGTGGTTTAGGAATACAGGCGACCGGTGCGTGCGTATGGCAACCGTTTTCACTTGTATTTCGAAGTTATTGATATTTGCAATTGTTCTAAGGATATCTTGCATGAAGGTAGGAATTTGGTGGAAATTTCCTATTTTATCGCAATAGGGACAGAACAGATATACATGCAATGCCTTATTTTTTCTCTCGAAGATTCTCAGGAGGGAAGAAGAGAATATCAACCTCGTGTCTACTGATATCAATTATATCCATACGAGTTGATAAAGTTACAAATATCCGACGCTCGCCAGGGATATTTATATTTTTATCAACGAGTGTTGATATAATTGATATTAGTAGACACGAGGGTGATATTCTATTTATCATAAAAATCACTCATCATTAGTTTTCAATGAAAAATATACATCGCTGAACACGGTACTGCCATTAGACTTGCAGTGCAGCGATGTCATAGCATTGTGACGTCATCAAGTTTTTGTTTGTGACTCATGTAATTGATGACGTCAGGGCATTGTACAAAATCTACTGAGATCCAAGGAGATGTCACAGAAGCAATATCTCCAGTAGAACACAGTTTTGGATGATAAAATGACTTTCTTCTGCAAATATTTGTAACGGAGACAGGATGCGTTCCCCTTTCAGAGAATACTTGATAATGATTCATTATAAGTTGTATGCTTCTCTCGAGGGTAATACAGTCTATGTACGCCTCTTTGTAGCAGTGTCATATGAACCGGTAGGCGAGGGATGGCATTGCTACGAAAAGGCGTACATCAGACCGTATTACCCAAGGGAGACGTTTAAAACGTATTTATCTTACCGCCATGTTAAATGTACAATATATCATTTTATTTTATTTTGAAGATCGATATGCTCGCTACCGACATATAAACAAAATGGCGTCTACCTCTCGACTGGATTTATAAAATCGGTAAAACATATTCTGACAAGCTTAAAACTGCTATAAAAACGGTTAAATATGTTTAAGTTGAATGTGCAAACGATTCAATATATAAAATAGTTTAAATAAATCAGTAAAATAAATGAACATATCGTGAACTCAAAAACAGCTAATCGAACGGTTTTCGTCATACGATTGTTAGCTTCTCGGCGGAGAGTTTGGCGGTTTCCGTGGCAGCGGATAATATCTTTTCCAGTTGTCACCCTACTCTAAGGGGTGACACGGAAACTAGTTAAAGTGTCACTGACAAATGAAATCAAAGTATTTTACATGAAGGTAAGATAAAAAAGCTGCTCGAGATATAGTCGGAAAATATGGAAATTGTTTTGTCGATTGTATTCATACCTGTCACCCGGCGTATAATCGAAGAAATACGGTATGTACTGAAGAGCATAAAACAATATTTTGAGTATGTTCTCATTTCCCTACCCCCTAGACTAATAAACTCCTGACTTCGAACTTAGTTCCGACGCCGTGTACAGAAACTGACGGATAGATTAATGAAACAAATATAATTACTGATGCTATAATTACTTACTGTGACAGGGTGTAATGTTAGAGCTAAGAAGCAGCATCAACACAAGATAACATCCGCTCGACATGTCTAACCACTTTATTAACTGTACGTGGTTTACTTCTCAACTGTCGTATAAATACCCGTCTTCAGCTCAATCTGTTGGTCTCCACTGAAGCATGCACAGCTGGTACAGGGGCGTCGTGACACCATAACGTGTCAATAATTCTGTCCAATTTAAGTCACGTTTTAATCGGTTTTTATATAGGAATATTAATGATGATAAAAACGACACTATTTCAGTCTTGGGATATTCATATTTCATGTTCC